CTTTTCTGTTATCTGCTTTAAACTCCATTGACTGCTTCTATTCTAGATTTAAATTTGTTTCTTCTCACAGCTTAAAGGTCGTGATCTGAGCGTGGCTTTTTTCACTCCAGCGCTGTCCTACCAGACAGTCTCGTCCCTTCACCAGATGAAGGCCGCTTGTGTTGTGGCCGAAACGTCGTGATTTTTGTTATTTTATTTTTTTACCTACGTGACTTTACCCAATAAAACCAAAGAGTATGGATCCATTGACTGCCCCAACTGACAGCTGAGTGGCTGTCAGCCAATCACACCTACGTCACAGACACGACATTGTAGGTTTTGACTTAAAACTTTCGTGACTGCAGGAATTTATATTCTTGCTTTCGGTAAAGTCACGGAGATAGAAAATAAAAATTATGAAATAAATGTGTAAAAAAATGTGAAACTAAAAAACCCACGACGTTTCGATCGCAACACAAGCGGAAGAGGGGGCAAGCCTTAAAATGCAACTGCTTCTAAGGAGAGAGAGGGGGGTAGAGATAGGGGGAGTGAGGGGGGTAGAGATAGGGGGAGAGAGAGGGGGGTAGAGATAGGGGGAGTGAGGGGGGGGGGATCGTGGGAGTGAGGGGGGTAGAGATAGTGGGAGTGAGGGGGGGGGGGTAGAGATAGGGGGAGTGAGGGGGTAGAGATAGGGGGAGAGAGAGGGGGGTAGAGATAGTGGGAGTGAGGGGGGGGTAGAGATAGGGGGAGTGAGGGGGGTAGAGATAGGGGGAGTGAGGGGGGGTAGAGATAGGGGGAGTGAGGGGGGGTAAAGATAGGGGGAGTGAGGGGGGGTAGAGATAGGGGGAGTGAGGGGGGGGTAGAGATAGTGGGAGTGAGGGGGGGTAGAGATAGGGGGAGTGAGGGGGGGTAGAGATAGGGGGAGAGAGAGGGGGGTAGAGATGGTGGGAGCGAGGGGGGTAGAGATAGGGGGAGTGAGGGGGGTAAAGATAGGGGGAGTGAGGGGGTAGAGATAGGGGGAGTGAGGGGGGGTAGAGATAGTGGGAGTGAGGGGGGGTAGAGATAGGGGGAGTGAGGGGGGGTAGAGATAGGGGGAGAGATAGTGGGAGTGAGGGGGGGTAGAGATAGGGGGAGTGAGGGGGTAGAGATAGGAGGAGTGAGGGGGGGTAGAGATAGTGGGAGTGAGGGGGGGGTAGAGATAGGGGGAGTGAGGGGGGGGTAGAGATAGGGGGAGAGATAGTGGGAGTGAGGGGGGGTAGAGATAGGGGGAGTGAGGGGGGGTAGAGATAGGGGGAGTGAGGGGGTAGAGATAGGGAGGGGGTAGAGATAGGGGGAGAGAGAGGGGGTAGAGATAGGGGGAGTGAGGGGGGGTAGAGATAGTGGGGAGTGAGGGGGGTAGAGATAGGGGGAGTGAAGGGGGGTAGAGATAGGGGGAGTGAGGGGGGTAGAGATAGGGGGAGTGAGGGGGGGGGTAGAGATAGGGGGAGTGAGGGGGGGGGGTAGAGATAGGGGGAGTGAGGGGGGGGTAGAGATAGGGGGAGTGAGGGGGGGGGTAGAGATAGTGGGAGTGAGGGGGGGTAGAGATAGGGGAAGTGAGGGGGGTAGAGATAGTGGGAGTGAGGGGGGGTAGAGATAGGGGGAGTGAGGGGGGGTAGAGATAGTGGGAGTGAGGGGGGGTAGAGATAGTGGGAGTGAGGGGGGGTAGAGATAGGGGGAGAGAGAGGGGGGTAGAGATAGTGGGAGTGAGGGGGGGGTAGAGATAGGGGGAGTGAGGGGGGTAGAGATAGGGGGAGTGAGGGGGGGTAGAGATAGGGGGAGTGAGGGGGGGGGTAAAGATAGTGGGAGTGAGGGGGGTAGAGATAGGGGGAGTGAGGGGGGGTAGAGATAGGGGGAGTGAAGGGGGGGTAGAGATAGGGGGAGTGAGGGGGGGGTAGAGATAGGGGGGGTAGAGATAGGGGGAGAGAGAGGGGGGTAGAGATAGGGGGAGTGAGGGGGGGGAGAGATAGTGGGAGTGAGGGGGGTAGAGATAGGGGGAGTGAGGGGGGGGTAGAGATAGGGGGAGTGAGGGGGGGGTAGAGATATGGGGAGTGAGGGGGGTAGAGATAGTGGGAGTGAGGGGAGGGTAGAGATAGGGGGAGTGAGGGGGGGGTAGAGATGGGGGGAGTGAGGGGGGGTAGAGATGGGGGGGGAGGCATTGCACCTCGCTACACACATCCACACTGCTGAGGTTGACAAGAAAACACAAATAAAGTCTTGACCTAAAGTGGGAGATGACATCTTTCCAATGAATGCTGACTTCATGACCATCGTCTCGGTTGAAATTGTGTCTGTATATATGAATGGCTTCGTGAACGAATCTTTGTTGATCGCCAGTCGGCTTGCAACGTACCATCTTCTTAGATAAATACATTTCATGTGAGCCAGCCGCATTAAAGTAATGATCAGCCACGGCAGAAGTATTGGTCCTGCCATGTTTCAGATCTGCCTTATGTTCACGAACACGGTCCGAGACATGTCGTTTAGTTTCCCCAATGTAACTGCTGTCACAGATACAGCTTAGTTTGTAGACGCCAGGGTACTGTATGTCCGGAATCACATCTTTTACAGACGGAACCAGATCACGGATTTTATGTAATGTGTTGAATCGGACCTGGATCTTGTGTTTGTTCAAGATTTTGGAAATATTTTTGGTTATCCCTACGACGTAAGACAAATTGATGGTTTTGATTGGATCTTCAGATGGCTCTTTTCTCACGGTTGGGGTGGTGGCTTTGCGGATTGTTTAGTCAGAATATCCATTCACCTTGAGAGCCCGGTGTACGTGTTTGAGGTCACTGGTCAGGTGTTCATGGTCGGAGATACATTGAGCTCTATGGTGTAGCGTTTTGATGAGGGAATTCTTCTGGGATGGATGGTGGTGGGAATCAGGTTTTAGGTCGGCGTCTGTATGGGTTACTTTCCTGTAGACAGAGTGGCTCATTGAGCCATCTGGTCTCTTTTTGATTAAGACATCCAAGAAAGGTAGCATGCCATCCTTTTCTACCTCCATTGTGAATTTGATTGCTGGGTGTATGGAATTTATGTGGTTGAGGAATTGTTTCAGAGCCGGTCGGCCATGTGGCCAGATGACAAACGTGTCATCCACGTACCTCTTCCACAAGGATGGGCGTAGAGAGGATGCCTGGATGGCGTCCGTCTCAAATTTTTCCATGAAATTGTAGGCCACAACCGGAGATAAGGAAGAACCCATTTGGGGTGCCTTCAGTTTGTAGAATGTCCCATTCCAGGTGAAGTATGTATTGGTGATGCAGTGTCTCACCAGGGCAGGTACATCAGCATTCAGTCCTTGTTGGGCCAAATCTTCATTTATCGCAATAGTATAGAGCACAGGAACTTTGGTGAACAAACTACATCGAAACTAACGAGCAAATCACCTGGGGACAGTGAGATGTCTTTAATTTACGATACCAGGTGAGCTGAATAACAACAGAAGAGGTGGTCTTACCAGTGAATGGCTGCAAGGTCTCATGTATCGGGCTAGTTTGTAGGTGGGTGAGCCAATGGTGGAGACGATGAGACGAAGGGGTGTGCCTTCTTCATGGATTTTTAGTAAGCCATATAGTCTGGGTGGTCTAGCAGCAGAAGGTTTTAAGGAAAACCGTTTGGTCTGTTCAATTAATGAAGCTGAATCAGGGATGATACTGTTCATTTTTGTAACGAAGCTGTTGGTGGGATCTCTTTAAATTTTTGTGTAGCTACCATCATTAAGTAGATCCTGAATTTTGTTATTGTACGCGTTTTTGTCCATGATGACCATGGCATTGCCCTTGTCGGCTGAGAGGATGACGATATCTTCCCTCTTTTTTAATTGAGATAACTCAAAGCGCTCCTACTTACTGATGTTGCTAACTGGTATCTTAGCGCTTTTGAGAGTTGCAGCGATCTCAGATCTTGTCACGTCTGCAGCAATGTGTCCCAAACTTTTAAGTGCTACATCGACCTGAGCAATAATGTCATCCACTGGTATGTGTTTGGGGGTGACTGCAACGTTCAATCCTCTGGCCAAAACCGACTTTAGACCATCGGAAATTGGGCTATTACTCAGATTAATAACAACCTTGTCAACGTCTAACTTTTCAACATGTGGATCTGGTTTCTTCTTGGAAAGAATATTGAATTTGGAAATCAGATTATCTTTACATTTAGCTGACATTGTAGCGGCTGATGAAGCGGTCATGTTATCTACATGTTCCCAATCAGATGTAGACAGGACCAATACTTCTGCCATGGCTGATCATTACTTTAATGCGGCTGGCTCACGTGAAATTGATTTCTCTAAGACGATGGTACTTTGCAAGCCAACTGGCTATCAATAAAGATTTGTTCACGAAGCCATCCATATATACAGACACAATTTCAACCGAGACGACGGCTATAAACTCAAAAATCATTGGAAAGATGTCATCAACCACTTTACGTCATGACTTGATTTGTGTTTTCTTACCGTCAGTAGTGTAGATGTGTGTAGCGAGGTACAATGCCCCCCCTATCTCTACCCCCTCCCTCTCTCTCCCCCTATCTCTACCCCCTTCCTCCCCCCATTGTCTACTCCTACATTAGCACTGGCTGGCTGGCTGCCCCACCCATGCTGTTTATGCCACACAGCATCTCCTCCTACCAACTCCCCCATTGTCTACTCCTACATGAGCACTGGCTGACTGGCTGCCCCACCCATGCTGTTTACACCGCACAGCTCTCCTCCTCCCAACTCTCGTCTCCTGCCCACTCACTTTGGAAACCCTTATAAGCAGTTGAATTTGGAGGCATGTCCCCTCTTTTCTCTCCACCTCAAGACCGCTAAAAGCAAAAAACGTCATGGGTTTTTTGCTTTTATTATTTTTAATTGATTTTTTATTTTATAAAAATATATATATTTTTTTCCTGCCTCAGCAGCTCTCCCGCTATATTTTCACCTGATGACAATTGCTTGTGTAGTGGATACAAATGGAAGGAGGCTTTTCTGGAGGCAACACGTTTATTATTCAATAACGAAACAGCTTAACACAAAGGGGTTGCAGCCCCTTTTACCCGATATCCTAAGGAGGTATGTCCGGCTTTTATACACAGTCCCAGCTCACTCCGCCCCTAGCCACACCTTCCTTCTGGAATGTTCCCGAGGGACCTGGAGTGTGACGTCATCCCCCCCAGTCCCCTTCTTGGGGTCTGGGGTCCGCACCCCTGGTCACGATGCTCCCCGGGGATTACCTTGGCCCAATGGCCCGACTTCATCTACCTTGCCGGCTCAGACTCCCTTCCGCCCCCTGTTGACACGGAACCGGTACTACTGGCTATGAGTAGTGGCGATCGCGCCCAACAATGCCACTACATTACCCCCCCCCCCACCTCGTAGCATCCAGCTGTCCCGGCTGCCAACTCTCCCCACAAGAACATGGCAATAACATAACGAAAGTACGTGTGCCTCAACATCAACAACATCAAGAATAACCCGACAAATACCCCAGCCCACCTGTACAAAATTACACTATATAGAAACATACAAAAATGGTGCCCGCGCGACCGCACACGTCACCCCACCCAGCACACGCGCAAGCCAAGGAAACAACAACTTGTCCGACCATCCGCAAGACAGGTAAGGAAGGCCACCGACCGAGACAATTCGGCGGACGTGAAGGTAAGTGCGCGGTGTGGTGCATGTGAGAATGTGGGGGGGGGGGTCACGAAAACCGTGGAGTCTTAGAGTGGGTGCGCGTTGCAGGACCATCATACGAGTCAGCAGGGTTCGGTGGTGGGTCGGCAGAGACCGGCCCAGCCTGAGGGACATCCGGCCCGGCGGGTGAGCGCTCGTTGACGGGAGCGGCCAGCGTGGATGGCCCTGGAGGACTCATTTCTGCGGCATCTGGGGGTGAAACAACACGACTGCGGAGGGTTACGCACCATGGACACGCAACGCGGCTCATCGGACACATCACGCACTTGGCCCCCACGATGTGTAGGTCAAGCGGAAGAGTGTGGCGCGACAAAGGGTTTGAGGCGCAACGGGCGGACGTACCAACACCGTCTGCCCCACTGTACTTTAACACACTGGGGGCGAACGACCTGGATGATGTCGACAGGGCCCCTCCAGGGCCCCTCCAGGGCCTGAGCAATTTCAGCGACGTCGCCAACGGCACCTGGGGGCAATGGAGCCAGGCCCTGTCCCCTTTTGCCCACGCATGTCCGGACGCACGAAGGCCCCGCAACCGCTCGTTGGCCAATTGCCGTGAGCCAGAATTTATCTTCGCGGCCTCCCGTGCTTCGGTCAACTTCTGAAGATTAAACCGCATGTAGTCAGTTATTTTAGACTTCGAGGCGGCCGGTTTAATGCAGAGGGGTTAACGTCCCTGCTGTACATCAAGTAAAACGGTGAGTATCCGGTTGCTGCATGAGGTGCCATCCTGTATGCGGACAGAACCCTGGGGATCTGTAGATCCCAATCAAGCTGTGATTCGCTCACCTGATGGCACAGCATGGAGGTGAGCATTCTATGCAGGCTCTCAACCATACCGTCCGTCTGTGGGTGATATGGCGAGGTACGAATTTTCTGCGTGCCCAGCATGTTGCACACGTCCCGCAGCAAGGTGGATAAAAAATGTTTCCCTGGTTGGTCAGCAGCCGTTTGGGAGCACCTTTGTCCAGAACATAGCCTTGGACAAAGGCCTCGACGATGGTTGCTGCCGACTGGTTGGGAAGCGGCCAGGCCATAGGCCAGTGTGTGAAATACTCCACCCTAACCAGCAGGTACTTGTTACCTCGGGGAGTGGCAGGAAAGGGTCCTAGGATGTCAAAGGCGACAAGCTCATTAATGCCGGACACTTGAATGAACTGCAAGGGCAGGCAAGACAGCCGAGCTGGCGGCTTTCACCGTGCGCATTGGGTGCAGCCCTGCAGCAAGTCAGCCACATCCCTTTCCATGCCCGGCCAGAAGAAGTCGAGCTGGAGCATAGCAAGGGTTTTGTGCACCCTTAAGTGTAATAGGTGCTCGTGGGCAGCCCAAACAGCCTTGCCCCGCAGGGCAGTGGGCACAACAATTTTGTATTGGTGCAAGCTGCCGTCCCACATCATTAAGAGGCTGTCGCGCAGGACGAAGGATGCGAAGACCTCGTGACTACTACCACCTCTTGACTGTCCGGCGCGATGACGTAACTTAATGAGGGACATATCCTCCATTTGGAGGTGGCCCCAATCATTGAGGTTCAGGCCAAGCATCGCATCCCGTGCGACCGTCCCATCAGGTTCCCCTGAGGGGCTCACCCCAGAGGGAACCACCTCGGCCGCTGCAGCATGGGGCGGGGGCGAGCTATCAGCTGGCTGCCTGCAGCGCCCCGAGCCAAGGAAACATACACACTTTTCGCCTGTCGGCAGACGCGACAAAGCATCGCCATTAGAGTGTTGGGTGCCCTTACGGTAAGTAAGAGTAAACACATAGTCCTGGAGGACCTCCCACCAGCAAGAGAGTTGACCAGATGGCTGGTCAACTCGTAACGCTTATTGTAGTGCCGCGTGGTCGGAGTGCACGGTGAAATTCCTGCCGTACAAATATGGCTGGTACTGTTGGACAAAGAATACAATGGCCAACAGCTCACGGCGAGTAACGCAATAGCGTTGCTCCACCGGAGACAACACCCTGCTGCCATATGCAATCACGCGTTCGACCCCGTTGATGACCTGTGACAACACCCCGCCAATGCCGGTGTTGCTGTCATCCGTGTCGAGAATGAATGGCACGGAAAAGTTGTGGTAACATAGGGGAGGGGCATTCACCAAGGCGTCGCGCAGCGAGTTAAATGCGGCCTCCTCCTCCTGTCCCCAATGGAACTTCATCCCTTTGGCTGTCAGTGCATGGAGGGGCTTGGCAATGGACGCAAAACCAGGCACGAAGCGTCGATAGTAAGATGCGAAGCCAATAAAGTCCGTACTTCCCCCACAGATGTGGGGGTTAGCCACGTACGAACACAATTTGTTTTCTGCGGATCAGTGGCAATGCCCGACTGGCTGACAATGTGTCCAAGGTAACGCACCGATCCCCATAAGAGGTGGAATTTTTGTGGTTTAAATTTAAGATTTGTTACTCGCATTTTAACAAAAACAGCCCTCAAGCGTTCCAGGTGTTCCTCGAAAGTGCGGCTGAAGACAATAATGTCATCTAAATATATCAGGCATGAGTCCCATTGGAGCCCAGCAAGAACCAGTTCCATCAACCCCTGGAATGTTGCTGGGACCGAGTGGAGACCCATGGGCAGCCGGTTAAATTCAACAAGGCCCTGCGGCATACGGAAAGCGGTCTTAGGTTTTGATGCCTCGTCGAGGGGCAATTCCCAAAAACCGGACAAAAGGTCTAGTGTTGAAAAGTAATGTGCCCCCGCTAAGGTATCCAGCGACTCGTCCATACGAGGAAGTGGATATGCGTCAGCCACCGAAATTTTATTGAGCTTACGGAAATCGACACAAAACCTTAAGCTGCCATCATGCTTCTTTGCGAGGACAATTGGAACCCCCCATGGGCTGGTGGATGGGGAAATTATGTCCACAGCTAACATGTCATTGACGGCCAACCTGACATGTTCTTTCTCAGCCGGGCTCAAGCAGAACGGTTTCTGCCGGATGAGAGCGACGTCACTCGTGACGATATTATGGTTCAGCAATTTAGTACACCCAATGTCAAATTTAGTTTTACTAAAAACATCGGAAAATTCCCGTAATAGCACGCACAATGTACCTCTCTGGGAATTGGACAGGTTGCCAGCCGCCGAGCAAAGTGAGTCCAACCATCGTTCATCGAGGTTAGAGTGCGGTTGCGATCGAGGTACGGCTCCAACCTGGCCTACAACCGAATCTGCCTGGAGCGCCGGCGTCACGTGAGCGAGCACAGTACTTTGCGGTATGACGGTCGTTCGCAACCCGACATTCAAGACTTGGATGAAGGGATCCCGGTCCCCAGATACCAGAGTCTGTGCACCCCCAAACCGCAGTATTTGAAGGACCCAACAGGACACCCCCGCCGTCGCCCCCGAATCAAGAGGTTTCCGTAGCCGAAGGGGAACCAACATCTGCGCACCCGGCGGAATGCGCACCGTTCAGGACATCAACACCTGAACGGTAGCGCAGGCCGTGCGCAACCGAGTGGGGGATGCAGGAATGCCATACGTCGACCAGAGGGCAGTTCGATACAGCCCTGGTCGATAATAATTTTTATAGGCATTTTGCCCAGGAAATCTGTTCCCAATAAGCACTGAACAGCGATGGACGAGGAAACTAGAATGGGGCCCGCCAATTTGACATCGCTGATACAAATCTGAGCATAAATCTGGCCAATTATGCCCAGCGACCCTCCATTAGCGGCGAAACATGGGACATCAATTTGCGGCGCGCAAAATACATCCTAGGGCATGCATCGCGCTGCGGAAGGCGAGGGGAGTTTCCGACTCACCCTTCTTCCAAGCAGCGTACCGGTGTTGCGTGTCCGATGGTGGGCCACAGATGTCGGCCATTTGTTGGAGTGCCCGCTGCAGCGTAGATCGATCCTCCTGTGGAATCGTGATGAGAGCAGAAAGGGCATCGACATCCAGGGAGGCCGGGAGCGCCCGTAGCACCTCTTCCTCCGTCCACCCCGCCATCTCGCGATGTGAGAGGAAGCAGCGCTGAAAGGCCGCCCAGTCGCCTCCCGCCGCAGAGAACTGACGGGCAGGCATTGGTGGATGTCCGGCACGCATCCCCGGGGCAGATGCTCTTCATCACTTTTGGCAGGAAGTGCCATGATGGCGGTCCCTTGCGCCGCTGATGACGCGGCGATCGCTGATTGGCGCGAACCACGACCGGAAGTGACGCATGTCCCATGATGCTCTTGGCTTCCGGCGGAAACCCCCCTAACTTTGGCGGGAGATTAGAAATCTTGGGCGGGAATTCCAGAACCGGCGGCGGCAACGGCAGTCGCCTGCAGGCCCGCTCCGCCCTCCTCCGCTGTCGGCTCCCCACAATGAATCTCATCGAGGATGGAGGCCGCGGTGTGCAGGAGTTCGGCGAGGCAGGAGTCCGCCGCCCGAAGCGCTCTCCCCGACTGTGGTGACCCGCCAGGTGACCAGGCAGACTGCAGCTCGGCCGGCAACGCTTCATCCCCTTCAGCCGGAGTTGTCAACCCCGGGGCAGCTGCACCATCTTCTTCTTCATCCTGAGCCCTGGTGCGTATCTTCCTCCTTGTTTCCATGCTAACTAATATATGGCCACTTCTGTCACCAATTGTAGTGGGTACAAATGGAAGGAGGCTTCTCTGGAGGCAACATGTTTATTATTCAATAACGATACAGCTTAACACAGAGGGGTTATGGCCCCTTTCACCCGCTATCCTAAGGAGGTATGTCATCGTCACTAGCGTGCCCTACACACTGGGAAAGCTGTCCGCTAAGGTTCCTCCGGCTAGCGGGACCTAGGGAGGCGAACCTAACCCGACCCAGCCAAGGTCCTCGGGTCCTATCCACGGGGCTGCTCGGACCCAACCCAGCCAAGGTCCTTGGGTCCGGTCCCCGGCTCCAGGTCTTCCAGGTGGCTTCTTGAGTCTTCGAGTGGACAACAACTGCCGGGCCCGTTCAGGGACCCGGCTTTTTACAGTCTCAGCTCACTCCGCCCCTAGCCACACCTTCCTTCTGGAATCTTCCCGAGGGACCTGGAGTGTGACGTCATCCCCCAGCCCCCTTCTTGTGGTCCGCACCCCTGATTATGATGCTCCCCGGGGATTACCTTGGCCCAACGGCCCCACTTCATCCACCTCGCCGGCTCAGCCTTCCTTCCGCTCCCTGTTGACACGGGGCCGGTACTACCGGCTATGAGGAGTGGCGATCGCGCCTAACAATTCCACTCCACGTGTGTTGCGACCGAAACCTCGTGATATTGTTATTATTTTATTAATTGTAATATTTCTTTCTATCTACGTGGCTTTACCGAAAGACCCAAAGAATATGAATTCCTGCAGTCACGAAAGCTTTAAGTCTTCATTTTATTATTTACGTTTTTTAAATTTTATATCTACGTGACTTTACTGAAAGAATCAAGAATACGCTGTGTGGGGGCGGGGCTCTGTCCAGTGGCGCTGTTAACGTTCACATTCAGCACCATCCTGTATGAGATAGCCTCTCAATTCCTTTATACACGAGGAAGTATCTTCATAACGATTGTTTCGCTACACAACCACGTGGGGTCCTCGTGGTATTTTACTCAGGCGCGGAGGACGACTACGTATAGGGTTCTCGTGTTTTACACAGGCGCCAAAGGCGACTACGTGGGGTCCTCCGTGGTCTTTTACCTAGGCGCGGAGGACTACTACATGGGGTCCTCGTGGTATTTTACTCAGGCGTCGAAGGCGACCACGCAGAGTCCTCGTGGTATTTTAACTCAGGCGCCGAGGGCGACTATGTGGGGTCCTCGTGATTCTTTTTCTCAGGCGCCGAGGGCGACTATGTAGGGTCCTCGTGATTCTTTTTCTCAGGCGTCGAGGGCGACCACGCGGGGTCCTCGTGGTATTTTAACTCAGGCGCAGAGGGCGACTATTTGGGGTCCTCGTGATATTTTTCTCAGGCGCCAAGGGCGATTACGCGGGGTCCTCGTGGTATTTTAACTCAGGCGCCATAGGCGACTATGTTTGGGTCCTCGTGGTATTTTAACTCAGGCGCCGAGGGCAACTATGGCGGTTTGAGTTGGAGCCGGGGTCCCGAGGGATACGTTACAAACGGAGGAGACACGGGGAGTGAAAGACAGAGTGAGAGACACGGGGAGTGAAAGACAGAGTGAGAGACACGGGGGGAGAGAGACACGGGGAGAGAGACACACGGGGAGTGAGAGACACGGGGAGTGAGAGACACGGGGGGAGAGAGACACGGGGAGAGAGAGACACGGGGAGTGAGAGACACGGGGGGAGAGAGACACGGGGAGAGAGAGACACGGGGAGTGAGAGGACACGGGGAGAGAGAGACACGGGGGGAGAGAGACACGGGGGGAGAGAGACACGGGGAGTGAGAGACACGGGGAGTGAGAGACAGGGGGGGGGGAGTGAGAGACAGGGGGGGGGGGGAGTGAGAGACAGGGGGGGAGAGAGACACGGGGAGAGAGAGACACGGGGAGTGAGAGACACGGGGAGTGAGAGACACGGGGGGAGAGAGACACGGGGGGAGAGAGACACGGGGAGTGAGAGACACGGGGAGAGAGAGACACGGGGAGAGAGAGACACGGGGAGAGAGACACGGGGAGAGAGAGACACGGGGAGAGAGAGACACGGGGAGAGAGAGACACGGGGAGAGAGAGACACGGGGAGAGGAGACACGGGGAGAGAGAGACACGGGGAGTGAGAGACACGGGGGGAGAGAGACACGGGGAGTGAGAGACACGGGGAGTGAGAGACACGGGGGGAGAGAGACACGGGGAGAGATAGACACGGGGGGAGAGAGACACGGGGGGAGTGAGAGACACGGGGAGAGAAAATACGTGGGGAGAGGAGACATAGAGGCGGGCACGGAGAGACACAGACAAGGAGAGAGACAGGAGACGTGGGGTAGCGTGGAGCAGCTATGAGTCGCAGTGTTGACAGGAAGACCGGCAACGAGCAGCAGTAGACATCAGCGAGACGTCCAGGCAGCACTGACTCGGTAGCACACAACAGCGGCACCGCAGAGAGCAATACCAGCAGTGACAGCAATACCAGCAGTGACAGCAATACCAGCAGTGACAGCAATACCAGCAGTGACAGCAGGGCTCGGCAGTGCCGTACAAACAGGAGCAGCAGCAGGGACAGCAGCACAGGTGCCAAAGGCAACCATTGACATCAACTGCTGAGAACAGCAGCGGCAACGGGTGGATTCAACAGCAGCAGCGAGCAGTAAATAGGAGGCGCGTTGATAGTAACATCAAACGTAGCAGCAGGGAATAGAGCATCGACAGCATTCGTAGTAGTATCTGCAGCAGCATCATAAATAGAGATCGGCAAATAGGAACCACAGCACCGGCATCAGCGACGGGCGCCATGGTGACTCGAGTCATCTCCCGTCTGGTCGTGTGAGTCTCCTGCCGCTCTCCGTCGCCTGTCTATCCTCTTGCGTGTCGCTGTGTGTCCTGTATCTCTTGTGTGTCGCTGTGTGTCCTGTGTCTCGTGTGTGTCGCTGTGTCTCTGTGTATCCCGTGTCTCTTGTGTATCCTGTGTCTCCTGTGTGTCTTGTGTGTCGCTGTGTATCCTGTCTCTTGTGTGTCGCTGTGTCTCTTGTGTCTCCCGTGTCTCTTGTGTCTCTTGTGTGTCGCCGTGTCTCTTGTGTATCCTGTGTCTCTTGTGTATCCTGTGTCTCTTGTGTGTCGCTGTGTCTCTTGTGTATCGCTGTGTCGCTTGTGTGTCTCTGTGTATCCCGTGTCTCTTGTGTATCGCCGTGTCTCTTGTGTGTCGCTGTCTCTTGTGTATCCTGTGTCTCTTGTGTGTATCCTGTGTATCCCGTGTCTCTTGTGTGTCGCTGTGTATCCTGTGTCTCCTGTGTGTATCCTGTGTCTCTGTGTATCCCGTGTCTCTTGTGTGTCGCTGTGTATCCTGTGTCTCTTGTGTATCGCCGTGTCTCTTGTGTGTGTCTTGTGTATCCAGTGTCTCGTGTGTCTCCTGTGTCTCTTGTGTATCCTGTGTCTCTTGTGTGTCGCCGTGTCTCTTGTGTATCCTGTGTCTCTTGTGTGTCGCTGTGTCTCTTGTGTATCCTGTGTCTCTTGTGTGTCGCTGTGTCTCTTGTGTGTCGCCGTGTCTCTTGTGTATCCAGTGTCTCTTGTGTGTCGCCGTGTCTCCGGGGTGTATCCTGTGTCTCTTGTGTGTCGCTGTGTCTCTTGTGTGTCGCCGAGTCTCTTGTGTGTCGCTGTGTCTATCTGGTTATGCTGCTGCTGTCTTCACACGGATTCCTCGCCGGTCACGACCAACATCGGTGATAGCGATTAATGATCTGAACCAGGTTCATCGGCCTGCGCTAGGTCGACTCAGCCCCAAGCGAGTACCTGGTGCGGTGTGTAAAACATCAGCGCTGGGGAGACAAAGGCGGCCGGGCGTGGTGCTGGCCACACCACCCCCTCGTGATGCCGTGCCGGCCTTCATAGGTGCTCGCTAACAGCACTTGCCCCATCAGCCTATTAAGACTACACGGGGGGGGGGTCTTTGTCCTTCAATTGGTTTCTGTACAAACACAGCCACTGTCGTCATCATCATCCGCGATAAATCCACTGCTGGATGAAGGCTTCCCAAGCCGTGGTGGCTATGAGGTTAGTTTGAACATACTTACATACATACAGCCTGAACATACATACCAGCTGGTCATTGCGGTGATGTGGTGAGTGGCTGATGGGTGTTTGGGAGGCCCAGGACCGGTCGGTTATCTCTCGCCACTGATGTTGGCTGGGAATAGAACTCTGGTGGCTACGGTTCGTAGCGCTAATCACTGCGCCACTGCTCTCCCCACCCAGCCACCGTTCAATGTAGCGGTGATAGCGGGAGCGGTGGCGCTGTGGTTAGCTCACTGTCACCTGAGATTGCCGGGCACGGCACGAGTGACGCAGCCTGGAACCGGCCCGGTGTTTTCGGCTCTTCACCAATCCCGGCACTGGCCAGCGATGGTGAAGTATGGTCACACAACCATCGCCTCCCATTAGCGCGGTTGGCTACGTACGGCGCGAAAGAAGTTGAACATACAGCACACACACAACCCCCTTTACCGACACGGGCTGGGGAGGCCTTCATCAAGCAGTGGATTGAGAATAGCTGTATTTGTAATGTGTGCAGGGGAATACTATTAATATACAGCGCTATACATTACGCATACATTCACATACAGGTAGAAATGTCTCTGTGATCCATGGGTCTATGGGTCTCTGATCTACTTGATCTATGGATCGCTATGTCCTGTCTAGGTCTCTGTGGCCTATATATATTTGCGATCTATGGGTCTATGTTGACTATGGGTCTCTGACCTCTTTGATCTAAGGGACTATGTGCTCTATGGATCTCTGATCTTTGTGTTCCCTGTGTGATCCATAGGTCCCTAGGTTCTATTGGTCTCAGTCGATGGGGTTCTTGTCTTTGGGTTATTTGTAAAGCTGTGGTGTTTCTATGTAAATATGTGTATCTTGGTCTCTGGTAAGTCTCTGGTTAAACGGGGTGGGAGCACCAACTCTTTACTTACTCTTGAGAAGCCGGTTTAACCACTGGCGGCTGGAACCCGGATCCGAACCCAGGCGCTCGGCTCGATGTCCCTGTGGCACTCGGCCGGCCCTTGAGAATGTTGAGTGTTGGAACAAGGGCAGCTGAACGGAAAAACTGTGAGACTGGGTCGTCAGCCGGAACCCTGCTCGTGTGTACCTCGTGAGCATGCGGAAGACGGATGAAGTCAATTAGTTGTGTCCTTGTGTATAATTATATAGTCGTGAGTTGTATGAGTTACATTCGACTGTGTGTGTCTGTGAGTATGCGTAGTGGGGAGCGGTAGTGTAGCTGCGCCACGATTCCCACTCACGGCCACCAACGCTAGTGACGATTATCTGAACCTGTCCTGGACCTTCCCTGGGTCGACTCTGCCTTAAATGAGTACCTGGTGCAGTGTGTAAAAAAATTACCACGATGGAGACAAAGGCGGCCGGGCGTGGTGCTGGCCACCCACCCCCTCGTGTGCCTTGCCGGCCATCATAGGTGCTTACTAACAGTACTTGCCCCAACAGCCTGTTCAGGCTATATGGGGAATCTGTCTTTGTAGTGGAACACAGTCCTTATGCCGATACTTCCTCCTGTATATGGGAATTTGGGGCTGTACGGTAAAGAGATGTGGCACCACAGTGGGGAAATGCAGGGATGAGACTCCCGACTCACGGGACTGAATCTGAACGCCGACAGCGCCACTGAGTGGACATAGCCCCTCCCCTACAGCAGCTCATGGCTGTGACGTGGAGTGTGGTCATCGGACAGCCACGAGGCTGTCAGTTAAGGGAGTTGAAGGAGTTGAAGGGCAGTTAAGGGAGTTGAAGGGCAGTTAAGGCAGCTGAGTGAATTGAAGGGCAGATAAAAAGGGGTGGAAGGGCAGTTACGAGGCAGTTAATCCTGGAGAAGAGGAGAGAGCGGCTGGGTTGTGAGGTCTCCGCGTCAAGTCGTACAATAATAAAAGTGTCTCAGTGACAGTAGACACGCTACCGATTGTTCCAAGTGTGGGACAGTTATATTTGATGAATACTTCTAACAATTTTGATAAAACGTCTACTCTTGTTGGAGTCTTCTCTTACTGTTTATATACAATATAGTAAAACTTAGGCGACGTTACATATGTATGAGTTAACCTCGCGGTTAGCGTGCTGCGATATGAACCCGGTGACCCGAGTCCGATTCTTGCTCACAGCTAACACCAATGACGATTATCTGAACCATTCCTAAGCCTCCCCTATGTCGGCTCAGCCTCAAATGAGTACCTGGTGCAGTGTGTAAAGACATTGCCACTAGGGAGACACAGGTGGCTGGGCGTGGTGCTTGCCAGCCACCCCCTCGTGTGCCATACCGGCCTTCATAGGTGTTGCTTGCTAACAGCACTTGCTCCTACGATCTGTTAAAGGCTATATGCGGGATCTGTGTGTGTGTGTTATGTAGGCTGGTGTTTGGCACGCTTTATCCCGCGTATGCCTCATACAAGGCCGTGAAGACGAAGAACGTCCGTGAGTATGTGAGTACCTCCCCGTGTTGTACCATCACCACCACCATCACCACCACCATCACAACCACCATCATCACTAGTCACCACCATCATGATCACGACCACCATCACCACCACATGAACCACGACCACCATCATCACCATCTTCCCCATCACCATCTTCCCCATCACCATCTTCACCATCATCACCATCTTCCCCATCTCCACCATCACCATTTTTCCCATCGCCATCATCACAATCTTCCCTGTCACCACCGTCACCAATTGGGTGAACATTGTCCCCACCTCCATCGTGGTTATCATCACTTCCGTCTGCTTCATAATATGACTTCTGAACTGTTTTCCCATGTCTCCATGTAATGTGTCTATGTGCTCCATGCCCTGTGTCTTTCTGTCTCTGTCCCACATCTCCACATCTCTCTGTGGCCATGTATCCTGGCCCCATGTCCCATGTCTACATGTCTTGTGCGCCATGTCTTATTCCATGTGTCATGTTCAACATTCCCATATCTTCGTGTTCCCATCATGTCACCATGCCTCTGTGTTGTCCCCGTGCCCCCCACGTCCCCGTGTCCCCGTGTCCCCGTGTCCCTGTGTGCAGGTAAAGTGGATGATGTACTGGATCGTGTTTGCGTTATTCCTCGCCGTGGAGACGTTCACAGACATCCTCGTCTCATGGTAAAAAACTCCACCACCTCACGCGGCCACAGCCGGTTCTCCTATTACATGGTTCTCATTGACGTCCGAGTCTCATGGGAAACAATGCCACTGCCTGGCCTGGCCATGGCCGGGAGAGCCAAGTTATTTTTCAAAAGCATTCGCAGTAATCTTAAGTTACAGAAACATCACATAGGATTACGGGTGGTAATTGCACGAGTGCGTAAACGGATGAAGGCACGTGTCAAGATTCTGGGACCTTGCGTAGGCACAGGCCAGAGCTCCCTGGCTACGTGTGCCATGTCTCCCAACCCATGCCTGGTTTAGGCGGTGGTGGCGTGTGTACAGTGGTGATGTGGTGGAGTGTGTGTTGTGTGGTGGGCAGGCTGCCGTTTTACCACGAGTGTAAGATCGGCATGGTGGTGTGGCTGCTGTCGCCGTACACGCGTGGCTCCTCGCTCCTCTACCGCAAGTTTGTCCACCCGGCGCTCGCCTCTCGAGAGAAGGTGTCCGCATCACCGTGCCACACCTCACTGCGGCATACAGCAGTGTACAACCTGACCATACCACACCGCAGCGTACAACCCGACCCTACTACACTGCAGCGTACAACCCGACTGTACCACACCCCAGCACTGTGACACATATGTAGTGACACCTGACACCATAGTTTTCAATAATAGGAGTCTTTATTCCTTCCAGCATGTGACACACGGGTCTTCAAGGATTCCCTTCACTCCAAGCCTCTCGAGCTCTCGCGTTTCCTCCCCCTTTTTATCCCTGAAGCCCCTTTCTCGAAGGTTCCTTGACCTACTTTCCCTCCAGCCAATCACCTTCCATTTTCTCTAACGGATCCCATCTTACCTCCCTGTCAATCGACCTCCGTTTCCTGCTCTTTCCATTTATATTTCTCCTCCAATTCCTTCAATTTCCCTGCCTCTAACCAATCCCATTTCAAGCTTGCTAAGTACCATACTGAGTACTTGTTTTTACTTCCTGGTTATCCATGTCATGCAGTGTCCAGCACATCAGGTAAGTATCGTTGGGAGTGACACAATCTCTACACATACAAAACAACATACTGCGCTGCTATACCACCACACCACATACACAACACCAGACACCAAAGATTCCCACGCTACATCACCATACTACACCGCACCACACCTTACAACCCTACCGTACCACGCCACCTGACAACCACACTGCGTCGCCACCTTACCACCGCACCATATTACATCAGTCAACTCAAGAGACGGGAGGCTGTTTCTCAGGGAATGCAACAGTTTAGCGACATTTTTGCTACGTAAATGTACAAACGAGAAAGAGAGAGGGTGAGCGAGAGCTCTCACAAAGCACGTGAATGAGCGTGGCGTTCAAGGGCACAGCATTACCGAATTCTACAAACCACATAAGCACCCACTGCAAATAGCTTCATAATTGCTCCTGCACGTGGGCATGTCAATTGCATACTACAATGGTCTTTCACTGCCTGGTCTAAATAAATGATCTGTTGACTCTGCTGCATGGGCATTGGTGCACAAAGCACAAATAAACTCAACACGTTTCTTGTCAATAACACTGGCGAGATATTAACTACCTCGCTAGGTATACAGGGGGTTGTGGGTTATCCTAACCCAGACGCCTGTATAATTGGAGTTTGTATGTCTCTCCCCGTGGTCTTGTGGATATTTCTCCGGGTTCTCTGGTTTTTCTTTCGAAGAAACGTACTCTTAGAGCATTTGGCTGCAATAAATGTCCACATGATGAGCCACTTCGTTGAACTATCATTTGTGGCCAGGTTGCTTAAAAAAATTACATAGTTCAGTGGGCCTTACCTGGTAAGTGTTTCTTCACTTGGTCTATTGAGTGTGAACGATGAGGCTGGTGGCTGGTGAAGGTGAGCGGTGGGGGATGTCTGCTGATATTCAGGGGGGTAGTGTCTTGTGAGTGTCAGAATAGTGTCCTGGTGAGTTTCTACCGAGTGGTAAGGTATTAGGTGTGTCTGGTGAGGTTCAGGTGGGTGTCTGGTGATTATCTGGTGAAAGTGCAAGGTGGTAAGTAGTGACAGGTGCCTGGTAAGTGTTAAGAGTTGCCAACAGAGAAGGTGTGGAGCCAATGGTGGAGCAGTCGGTAAGAAATTAATATTTGAGAGTAGATGGGGAAGATGACCCCATCTGTTGGACGGGCTGCCCTCTAGCGAATCATATCGGTTGTGAAAGCCCACGTATAAAATTAGTTTTTGGTGTATTTGTAACGCAAGTTTTTTTTTACATTTCAGTATCCTTCCTCTGAAATCTGGCCAACTTGAGCCTGGCTTTGTGAGGTTTCTACTGCTTCTGGCACTGATCGTATACCCCTATCCAGTGGATGTCCCTTGTGCTGGCGTTCCCAGGATATCGCGACCCCACACAGCAGCAGCTCCCCGCCTGCATGTTTATAATCCCTCTTCCGTACGCCTCTCCCTACACCCCATCCCGCCGTACTCTCAGGGGATGCGTGGGTACCCAGCTCCCCACCCCCACATGCCCAGTGCACAATGCCACACGCTGCCCCCCAAGCTGTGTTTATAATCTCACCTCCGGTTACCACCCCCGCGCCTCTGTCCCCCACCCCGTGCTCCCAGGAGATAGACGGCTACATCCAGCAGGCGAAGGAGCGCGGCTACGAGACTGTGAAGTATTTTGGGCGGCGTGGACTCAACCTCGCCGCTACCGCTGCAGCCACCGCCGCTGCCAAGGTGCGGCGAGACGCGGGGAGAGATGGGGAAACGTAGGGAGAGATGGGGAGACATTGGGAGAGATAGAGAGAGATGGGGAGATGCGGGAAGAGATGGGGAGATGCGAGGAGAGATGGGGAGACACGGGAAGAGATGAGACTATAGAGATGCATGGAGGCATGGGGAGACGTATGGAGTGATGGAGAGATACGTAGAGACACAGAGATTTGGGGAGAGATGGGGAGACAGAGAGACATGGGGAGGTGCAGGAAGTCACTGGGAGGCGTGGGGGCATTGGAGAGACACGAGAAGACACGGGACATGGGGGGAAACAATGAGACGTGCACCACAGAATACACCGTTAGACATGGGGAGGCATTGTATGTGTGTGTGTGTACTTGTGTCTGTGTCTGGCAAAACAACCCCATACCTCCTCGGTGGTGCCGGACGGTATCACTGTGGTGAGCAGCACCATGACAGGGAGGACCAATTTCAATTGGCCATTCCACTCATGGCATTTGTAGCCACTGGTGCGAGGGGCTGGTAACCCCTCCACCTTCAACTCAAGTACCACTAAACCACTTGGAAAAAATCTAACTAAGCTGTGCCCGAGGCCCCAGGGGGACCGGTGTCTATGACGTCTCCTGGCCAAACCCCTTTTGGCAGAGCCAGGAGACTGAATCCTTACCCTCGGAGAACTTCTAGAAACAACAAAAAAGCCATTGCGGGTGGCCACGTGGAATGTTCGAACGCTCACTGCAGAGGAGAGGCTGCCACTCCTGTCGGGAGCTGGACCAGTACAGTCTGGATCTCTGCGGCATTCAGGAGGTCCGGTGGACTGGCTCTGGCTCCACCCACCATAAGTGGTGCACAGTCCTCTACTGAGGGCAGGAGACTGCCAAACAGGGAGTGGCTCTTCTAAATAAAATAATGAAGGGGGCGTGGGAGTGTGGTGGTGAGGTGTGGGAAGCTGTAAGCCCCAGGCCACTGTGGGCTCACCTTCCCATCAACCAGAGACAAGGAGTGGTAGTGTTGGTTACTTATGCCCCCAACAAAGATGAACATCGATGGAGGGATGCAGGCAAGGCCGATGAGAAAGATGCCTTCTATGACCTGTAACAGGTGCTAGGTAAAGTGGCCCCTTGGGATAGTCATCCTGTTGCATGACTTTAATGCCCAAGTGGGCCATGATGCTGGCACCTGGGCTGGAGTGATAGGAAGGCATGGACCAGATCAGCTCAATCACAATGGTAGGAGGCTGCTGGACTTCTTTGCAGCCCATGGGCTTGTAATTACCAACACGCTGTTCCGGCATCGGCGCATCCACACAACCTCATGGATGCACGCCGGGTCAAAGCAAGAACATCTGCTGGACTATATAATGACACTGCCTACGATCCATCCTGGGTTAAACCAGGCTGGATTGTGTGAGCTCTCAAATCCTTAAAAATCTGGATAAAGTCCCATCGGTGAGCTCTTCCAGCAGGCAAGGCTGCATTGGCTAGGTCATGTAGCCCACATGCCTAGCCACCGCATGCCTAAACAGCTTTTGTTTGGCCAGATAGAGGGGGCTAAATGGGCACGGCAAGGGCTACAGAAGAGATGGAGTGATGTGGTACAAGAGGATGTGGAGCTGAGTGGACTTGCTGATGACTGATACCATCAGTGTCAATATTCTGCCTCCGTGGAGGAGGCTCGTGAAGGATGGTACTGGGCAGTTAGAGGCAGTCGCCCTCCAGCAACAACGGAGGGCAGAGCAGCGATGCTCGCAACAACGAGCAGAGCGCCGTTGGCTAAAGCACAGCAAGTTGGCACAGTCGGGGGCACAGGTGGTGCATCAGCCAGTCATCTTAGTCAACCCATGGCACCTTGGTCTGTCTCGTGACCTCCTGCCAGCGGGCGTTCAATGTTTCAAGTGGACTTAACGTGCACATAGCCTGGCACAATCGTCGTGGTGACGTAACCACCACTTAGTGACGAATGGCGGTTCTTGTTATTGTGTTTCAGTTGATCTACTTTGGTATAGCCCTGTGCGTGTGTGTGTGGGGAATGGTAATGTCGCGGTTAGCACGCTGCGCTATGAACCCGGCGACCCGAGTTCGATTCCCGCTCATGGCCAACACCAGTGATGATTATCTGAACTGGCCCTTAGGTCGACTCAGTCTCAAATTAGTTTCTGGTATGGTATGTAAACATCGCCACGGGCAAGAGAAAGGCAGCCGGGCGTGGTGCTGGCCACGCACCCCCTCGTGTGCCATCCCAGCCTTCACAAGTTGTCGCTAACAACACTTGCCCCAACAGTCTGCTAAGGCTATATGGGGATCTTTGTCTTGTGTGTGTGTGCAGGGTCAGGGAGCCCTCTCTGATCGCCTGCGCAGCTTCAGCATGCAGGACATCGCACTGGGAGGGGTGGGGGATGGTGTCACGTGGGGGCCTGGTATGCACACACACTCTCCCCTACCCATGCACGTACACAACATACATACATACACGTACACATGTATGTATACAACATATACACATGTACACAACATACACATATACAACAACACAGAGACCAGGATCCCCCCTATAGCTTTTAACAAGCTGTTAGGGGGCAAGTGCTGTTAGTGAGCACCTCTGCAGGCTGGCATGCCACACAAGGGGGTAGTGTGACCAGCACTACCCCCGGAAGCATTTGTATCCCCAGTGCAACCACCATACTAGGTACTGATTCAAAGCCAATTTTACCAAGGGGAGTCGTTTAACTCTCAGCATGTGGGTCTCGTGACCGTATGTCAGTGAGCCTCCAACACTTCATGTGGCCTCAAAGTGTACCTAGCCTGGCACACGCACTGTGGTGACATCACTGCCAATAAGTGGCGAATGGTGGCTGTTGTTGTGTGTTTACGTGTGTGCGTGTGTATGTGTGCATTTGTCTCAGACCCACATTGTGGGGAGCGGTAGTGCCGCGGTTTGCGTGCTGCACTACGAACCCCACGACCTAAGTTCGATTTCCGCTCACGGCCAACACCAGTAACGATTATTATCTGAATCGGTCCTGGGCCTCCCCTAGGTCAACTCGGCCTCAAATTAGTACCTGGTACGATGTGTAAACATCACCACTAGGGAGACAAAGGCGGCCATGCGTAGTGCTGGCCACCCGCCCCCTCGTGCCCCATGCCGACCTTCCTAGGTACTACTCGCTAACAGCACTTGACGGGGGTTTTTTTGTGCATTTGTCTCAGGCCCGCATCCCGAGTTGGAGCCCTTTGACCCCAAGACGATGGACCAATCAGACGAAGAGGCTCCCCCTCCCCCCAAACCTAAGACTGCCCCGGCTTCCAAGGTAGCACGGCCTCCATCAGGGAAACCAGCCCGGAGTGAGGTGATGATGACATCACCATAATCACCATCAACATCAAAATCACCACCACCTCAGACTATCGTCAACACCACCACTACGTGCCATCATGGCCCCTGCTTTATCATCTCTGTCTCTGCCCCACCCCCCACCCCTCTCTGCTCCCCGAATCACCACACAGACCCAGGCTAAGAGAGGCAAGGCGCCAATCCGGAAGAAGGTCACCATTCAGCTTGCTAACCAGGACGCAGCATGACGGTGCCATCACCGCCACCACCGTCACCAACACCGGGACATACGTGGACACGCGTGGACACGCGTGGACACACGAGGACACGTGGAGATGTGAACACAAAGGGATACACGGGGATACGCAGGGACACGCAGGGACACGCAGGGACACACCGGAACCCACATGGACACACGAGGACAAACGTTGACATGCGGACACACAAGGAGACGTAAACATGAAGGGATACACTGGGATATATGGGAACACACGGCAACACATGGGGATACACAGGGCCACACCGGGACACGCGTGGGCACACTGGGACACGTTTGGACACACGAGGACATATAATGACACGCGGGCACACATGGAGAATTTAACGCAAAGGGATACGCGGGTACACATGGTGACACAGGTTTGGCACCGGTTCCGAGTTTGCCCGCTGTTGCGTGCTAACTCGCTTACAGATGGGTGGTTTATAAATAAGATGTAACCCTTCCGTCCTAGTTTCACAGTCCTCCCGTCATTGCGTAGTGGTTTACATGATCTACTTGGTTCACTGGACGTCTTAACGATGATCTTACCGAGTGCACTTGCGTCGTTAGGTTATTAATTTAATGACATGATTATTTTACTCTGCACTTTGCCTGACTGAGCGTGTGTGACGGTGCGCGGTGCTGGTGGGGGGCGGGGGATGCGCGGTGAGCTTCCCAATAGCTTGGCGCCAGTTGAAAATAAGGACTTGACGCAGTTAATACACAGACCACATTTTTCAAGTTCACATCACGATAGATTTTGGTTAGGCGCTTGGTTTATGGTCAGGGTTAGTCGTGGGTTTAAAATCAGGGTTAGGGTCGGGGCTCGAGTCTGGGTTAAGAATCGACGTTTATTATGAGGTTAGGTTTAGGGTCACGACTGGTCAGAGTTTGGGTCAAAGCTTATAATCAGGGCTAGCTAGGATCAGGGTTTAGGCTAGGGGAGTATTTTATGAGGGTCATGGCTTACAGGCTGAAATAAACATCGGGGCTTGTAGCCATCGGTGCGTCATGGTTTGTGAGCAGTGATTCGCATCGGCGTTTATAAACTATTGTTTCAGGTATGAGTGGCTTTTTAACTGAACGCCGGGTCACCGCGATAGCTCCAAGCTATGGGGACCATAAAGACGCCCGGGACCTAACCACTACCCCCCCACCCCCTCCATGGGGGTCCAGTAGCTTCAGGGCTTTTACCAGGATCCCCAAAAGGGGGGCTCTGACCCCTGCTGTGAGGGAAAGGAAAGCGAGGATGACAAGTGATGTGTGCTACCATTTTGTGCTTGCGTTTTACTAGCATAACCGCTGCCACTGTTGTTTTTTTGTATTGTGGTCGTGTGTAGTCGGTATCCCCCTTACCCGCTCTTTCACATTGGGTAGTGGCTCTGCTCATCTCAATTATTGGAGGCAATTTTCACATTCCCGTGGCAGGGACCAGTTCGTTTAAAAAAAAAGTATGTTTTTTCCTCCCCTTCCACATCTGTCCCGAGAGTGCTCTCAGTGTTGGCGTCGTGAAACGAAGACTCACTTGGGGACTCTCGACAGAACGGTGTGACCCTTCGTGTTAGAGAGTGGCCAGTGGAGATCAGATGTTACCACGCTACGGTCCCTGCAAATCAGCTGTGGTCCACGCATTATGGGGAAGCACTTATGTTTGTCGCACGATTTTAAAACCGATATTTTCAGGGCTGGGTTTTAGACAGGATGAAGGTGCAAAACTGAGTTTAATTGATATTTTTTTAAGTACACACTGGTGACCTGACTGAGCAAAATCAACTCACTGCATGTGATGAACCAATTTAATGACAACTTGATTAATCGGGTTCCTGTGGTTTAATTTACAACCCGATTTAATCACAAATTTATGGTTCTGGGTCCCTAAAAATTATATAACATCGGTTCAACTTAATCTGGCCCTGACGAACCATTAATCTGGTGATGAGCTTGCCGCCCTGTGGACTGAGCCACCCCTTTGCTGCTAGTGTTTTTCCTCGTCTTTGTCGTGCCGTGTTAGTGGAAGTGCTACGGAGGGAGGTGGTCTCGCCTCCTACCTGCGTGTCCGTGCACTTTTTTTACAGGAAAAGCCAGAAATTGCCAAAATAAAAGAACTTCATATCGCGCAGCTTTGTGTATCACTGTGCTGTAATATAATACTCCGCCATCATCATAATAATTTGTGTTGATAGAACGACCTCCTTAAGACCCTCGTGTCTTAGAGCCATATCCTTCCCCCCGCAACCTCTGATTAGCACGGTTGGCTGTGTACAGTGGCGAAATAAGTTCAACGTGCATACATACAGAGCACTTTACATATGATAGTCGACCTGTATCACATCTCAAACGCATTTTGAAAAGGCCCACCCAAGTGGCAATTGTCCCTGTGTAGCACAAGATAACTCGGCAGCCAGGGTCCGTTAGTCTGCCAGTAGGGGGTGACGATTGATATGTATATTTCCAATTCGTCAGTAATTTGTGGGTAATATTTCGAATGCGGATCATGGCGTCGGTACACAATGGTCCGTCACGCACCTTGGGAGCGAATGCGAGCAGGGTAAGATGGGGTGGTCAGGATGTGGGACTCAAAACTTTGCCTCGCTCTACCTCGGCGATATTCACGCCTCGTCGTTGGCAATAACAGTGGTCCCTCGGTTTACGATGCCATCATTAACGATATTTCGATTAATGATCCACCTCTTATAGGATCCCATTATTTATATTCATGATACATTTTCTATTAACGATGTTTTACAATGTGGTCTCCAATTTTGGGCAATTGGAGCGCTCCTAAGTGGACTTAGCAGACCTCAATCAGCGACGCCCTTTTATGAGCGTTTTGAGAGCAACTAGCTGCTAGCTTTTCAATGTTTCATGTGCGTTGCTTATGAAAACAGCTTTCGTGAATACGATGTGTTTTATACTAAATATAAAATATGAAGACAAGAAAGTGAGGAAAATAATTATTAGTGTGCAAATTAAGCAGGAAAATTTCTCCCACCCCAACTTCTCAATCAATCCTTTTAGCCATCCATCCTCTTAGCCTAAAGTAAGAATTTTTATTTAATGCCTTTTATGTATTTTTTATGCTATATCATGCATCCACATGTATATTAATGGTTTAATATGTTCTTATGAACTGGAGCACGTACACCAAGCCCTCAAGAAGAATGGATATTCAGACTACACAATCCATAAGCTATCACCCCAACCGTTGGAAAAGAACCATCTGAAAATCCAATCAAAACCATCACCTTGCGTTACATAGCAGGGGTCACCAAAAATATTTCCAAAATCATGAGCAAACAAGATCCAGGTATGATTCAACACTGTACATAAAATTCGTGATTTGATCCCATCTGTGAAGGATGTGATCCCTGACATGCAATACCCCGGTGTCTACAAACTAAGCTGTCTGCAGCAGCAGTTACATTGTGGAAACTAAGAGACATGTCTCGGACAGAGTTCATGAACATAAGGCAGATCTAAAACACGGTAGGACCAATACCTCAGCCATGGCTGATCATTATTTTAATGCTGTGGGCACACGAAATTGATTTTGCCAAGACGAAGGTACTCTGCAAACCCACTGGCTATCAGCAAAGATTCGTCCATCAAGCCATCCAGATATATAAACAGAAAATTTCAACCGAGAAGATGGGTACAAACTGAGCAATCACTGGAAGGATGTTATTAACCAGTTTAGGTCATAACTGGCTGTGATGTTCCCTTCCTACCTATGTTAGCAATTATTTTCGACCCTGAGCTACATTCACTAAGCCACCATTAGCTGTGTTAGTAAATAGCGGCTTACCATCCATTTCCACCTCCATGTGGCGATGTTCCTTTCGGAGCTCTCTCTAGCTTACATTTACAAGCAAATTTCTTACATTGACATGCTAATCCCTCACATTACAATTGTAGTGGGTCCAAGGTTCATAGAAGAAACTCGTTTATTACAATAACAGTAACGATCCCTAACACAAAGGGGTAGTGGCCCCTCCACCCCATACCTGGGGAGGTATCGCCTCCGGGCTCACGTGTCCTATCAACTGGGACTACGTACTCTCAGCCCTTTAGCTAAAGGGGTCCTAGGGGAGGCTAGCTGACCCGACCCAGCCAAGGTCCTCGGGTCCCGGCCCTTAGAAGGATGTCGGGTCCGGGGGTTCCCAGAGTCCTAGCATAAGCATTTCTTCAGTCTTCAGCTTGACGATGACTGCCAGACCCGTCCAGGGTACCGGCTTTTATACCCATCTCTCCACCCCTAGCCACGCCTTCCTTCTGGAACTCTCTAGGGGGCTCTGGAATATCACCCCCAGCCCCTCTCTTGGGGTCTGGAGAGCCCTATTGGCCCAACGGCCTGACTCATCTTACCCAGTGTACCACCCCCTATTGACACATGTCTGTTACTACAGGTAAGGATGAATGGGAAATGTACACTGCCCAACCATGCTACTACACAATGGCCACTCCCACAGCTTCGTTTGTCAAGATTTCTCCTATCTTACATTTACATGCAAATTTCATCTCTAGCCCCGCACACTGACACTTGGGCTACACCCATCTCAAACCTTTATAACTCCCTGCCTTAGCAGCGCTCCCGCCATATATTTTTCCTGCTTCAGCAGTTCTCACCTGAAGACGATTGCTTGTGTTGCGATCGAAACGCTGTGATATTGATTATTTTTAGTCGATTTATTGTATCTACGTGCCTTTACCGAAAGACCCAAAGAATATTAATTCCTGCAGTCACGAAAGCTTTAAGTCAACCTTTAACATATATTTTCTATATTCAATTAACGATTTCAACCGATGGTTATAATATCGTTCACCGAGGAACCACTGTATAGCTCAACTCGGGGGGGGGGGGGGCGGGGCGAGACTAATATATGGCAACCCCAACGGAGTGCTCACCAGCATAATCTATGAACTTGGAGACGCTCGATTTGGCTCGCCTCGGCACACTCACACACCATCAAACCAGGGTCTCACAACCACACTCCGTCCTCCTGCACGACACGCACATGCGGTGCCTGTGGGGCTCACACTCCACTGGAACCACGTGGTCTTGGGACGCAACACCACGTGTCCTGATGGGATCGCATAAGCCTGTGAAGTAAAACTGTTGGGGCCGCAACAACACGGTTTTCCCAACGTGCACCACGATGTTCCCACGACGATGCAACACATTTAACCAAAACAATCCTTACGGTGTTTTCTCACCATGAAGTGAGGAATCCTCTTTGCACAGCATGGTAGCATGGTCACCACGCACAACGCAGCGTGGTTCTAGCCCTTAAGCACCGCAATGCTCTTTACCACGCCTGCAAACTCAGCCCAGAGGCTTCACTTGTTCCAGCCATGTGGTCAAGATGGCTGACAGGAATCACCTGTGGCTTTGCTGTCTACACGTGAGCAAAGTCAACAGGACCTTCCTCCACTCTTGCGCCTCCTAGATCCCCATTCGTACGATGCCTTATTCCCCAGGCGTTTTCCAGCTGCGTATGTTAAGCTACCGCGTGCGCATGTGAGAACGCGAGGACGGCTGTTATTATGGATGCGACGTGACCCACACCATGTTGATAGAACTAAAATCCCACACGACTGCCATGCTGTTCCTGTGAACGTCACTCGTTGATTCCTTCACATGCTGAACACGCAATCTACAAGACTATTTGGGCTCATCCGTGGTGTTAATTCAATTCACTGCATTGCAGGTCAGAACACTTAACTTTTTTATTTGATCAGTTAAGGCCCACTGAGCTACAGTATAATGCTCGTGAATAGAAAATTTCGCTGATAGTATGCCTTTTTAATGATCTTAAATAAATAAGCTATTAAATACATGAAAACTATCAACTAAACATGTATTGTAATAAACAACGTAAAAATGAATATTGAAGTGTTAAATAATAGTTTATAAATGAACTTAATTTAAATTATGATGCGCATCACTTTAAAAAAAATAATTGCTTAATGTCATCACTTTCTCACATCATCACATTAGTCATTTTATCCCATCACTTTCTCTTTTTTTTTACACTTTCTCTCTCTTGATGCAGTCGTGTAGTGCCAAATGTGATTTGCGGATAGCAAGTTCGTGAATAACGAGGGAAAATTGTATCTATTTTCAGAAGCGACCTGGGCACAAATGATCGCTCAACGAAGTGGCTTCTCATCATGTGGACATTTATAGCAGCTACATACTCTAAACGTATATTTCTAAATGTGGAGGGTGAAACCGGAGGACTCCGTAGAAAAAAAATACATGGGGAGAATATGCACACTCCAAATATACAGGCTTGAAGGTCTAAATCGAAACGCACGACCTTCTGTATGCCAGGCGAGGTAGTTAACAGCTCGCCACTTTCTGCTTTCTCACTCGCACTGCTCCAGTTTGGAATTCCCTCCCATAGTCTCATTTTTCCCAAGTTGTCATAATCTTTACAACTTTGATAGTGGTGCTGTTTGTTGCTGACCGCTTGACGTGCTGATCCTGTACTCGGCAACTGTTTAAAAAAGAAAGTTTCGCATTGGCGACGCCATCAGGGTCCGATTGTAACTTCGACGCCGACGCCACGTGGCAGCCCGACCGAAGCACGTGACCAAAAAAAAATTCGTCACCGCGCGACGTGTCGCACGGCCTGAACCTCGTAACGTCGTGCCCTGACGTCATCAGCACGTCAAACCTGGGCAGCCATCTTTTGCAAGGGTGGTCGGGGAACTCACGCGCCCCACTTCAACGCTCACCCCCCCACCACGTCGTATGGCCCGTGACGTCTCGCGCCGACGCAACGCCAATGTCTCCCTTCCCAACATGGCGGCGCGGTGAGGTCAAGAGGTGACGCGACAGTGGCGGGGTGGGGGGGTGGTGTTGAGGAGGGGTGGGCTCAGACGGTGACACCACGGAGCCGGCAATGGCCGACGGCAGCGGCAAGAGGGAGCACCGCTCCTACCCGGGACAGAATCTGCTCCTCTCCTCCGCGCCCGAGCTCAGCCTCTCGGCCCCGGCCACGCTGCTGCCCGTGGTGACGGGCGCCGATCCCACCGCCGCCTCTGCGCTCGGTAAGGCGGACGGGGGAGGGTGGCGGCGAGTGAGTGAGTGGGGGAAGCGGCGGTGATGGACGG